AATCGAGAGGACTACTTGTGAGTTACTCGATCCCATCTCTACTTTCGAGCATAAGGCAGCATGATAGGAGTCTCCGTACTAGCCGTAGGAAGGTGAAAGTTCGTACATCGCCTCTTCCATCGTTTACCTCGTCATTTTTTATCCTCTATCACTTTTCCTTCGATTGAGTTCAGGGAACCGGGCGATTTTCTCGCGATCTTGGTACCTTATTCTACTTTGATATTTACACGAACTGTTGCAATTCGTGCAATTGCAATAACGATGATAGAAGTGTTTCTATCATATTTGCGAAGAGAAATGATTGTGATGTATGTTTCAGTAAGAATGAAGATAAATATGCGATGTCAAAATGTCGACGAATTTCGTCTCCTTTCTAAGAACGAATGACAGAGTTATATTTTTCTACCCTTTAATATTTAAATTCACAATTTCTTTCAACTTGTAGGTTTAGAATCAATAGTGCAGAATGTTCGTGAAGACTAACGAAACTTTTTCAAATAAATATTAAGGAACGTCATATCAATCGTTAACATTCCAGATATTAATATTTAGAGTAACTAGATTTATTTATTGAGAAATTTTGTAAAACTTACATATTACTGCAACAAAAATTTACAATAGACTCTATTTCCAAATATTTAAATTTCAGTTAATAATAATTACTAATGATTAAACACAAGATTATTAATATTAAAATCTAGATTAATGTTAATCTTTATTAATTCATTGGACATTACTATTATATTAGATATATTGATATTACAGTGTTATAAATGTTGATTATTGGTAATTGCTATTAATTTATTATAATATCAATATTATTAATATATCTAATATTACTAGTAATTATTAAATTATGAGAGAAAATTAATTATCAATTCATTTAACAGTTGAAACCACTTTCAAAATATAATCTGTAATAAATTTTGAAGAACGTTGTAATACTTATCGTACAAGATATTTTGAACCTCTTAATCCAAGATCGACGATCAATGGGGAATGTCACGAAGAAAGAAACGAGAAAAATAGCAATGAAAATATTATCGGGTAGCTAAAGAATCAAGGCCACTAGCAGGCTTGCAACTAGTTAGAAACTAGCATACCGGGTTTCACTTTTCTTGCGACTTCGTTTTTATTTTTTGTTTTTTCGGCTCATGCCAAGCTTCTTTCGATAACATTTATTGTTATTAAACTTGGAAAAGCTACTGCAACCGCGTTTCGGATGATTATAATGCGCAAACTATACTGGTTCCTGCGTCTAATCAACATTTTAACACTCGTTTTGTTAGATCAACGACTGTGCTCAATGAAATTTAAACAGAGCAGTCAAAGAATAAAACGAACATGGTCGATAGGAACTTCCGGCGGGGCGGGTAACAGCGTGAACATGAACTTCACACTGTCGTGTATGCAAGAACTGCACTTTCACTTCTGCTGGATCTGCACGACAGAGCCAATGACCTACTAACACATCGAATCATTCACTCGCTATCGCGATGCTATTCCGGCAAGGACGTTATACATCGATTGTTCCTTTTTGGCTTGGAAATTCACGATAGACTATGTATCTTTAAATTCATTTCAGCTTCAATTGGAAAAATGATCGATTTTCAAAGAAAAGACACAAGTAGATAATGAAATGATAATTATTGTTAATAGACAAATTAATCGATGATTAATATTGTAATTATAACACAAAAGGTTATATTAAAATTCGAACCTGTTAATTGCTTTAATAGAATCTATTGATACTAATCTATTGAACTAATACTAACAGGTGCTTGTTATTAATTGTTTAGTCATAGATCGTAGATGAAATTGATGCAGTTAGTATATTATAATTTATATTACTTCGTATCATGCGCAATTTTGCATTTTCCAATTTTTTACAAACATCTGCTTTGCAGACTGTATTTATTACCTACTTGTATTGTTTCTTCGAAACAACGTCATTAAACAATTGCAACCTAGATGTTTAAAAACACAGACTATTAATGATTAGTGTTTACAAAAAATGCCCCCTAAACGAAACTCTTTTGATGACTACTAGTCCTGAAACTTGAATATTTATAAATAGAATCTGGCCTAACAATCAATATTATTTTCTAATATACACTTGAAGAAATAATTCATTTATTGTAGGTGAAATTAGACGAATCTATACCAATTTCTATTCTCTTGTCACCTCTCCCCTTAATTCTAACTGATTTATACATTTTTACTTTACCTTGAAATTCCTTCCCGTTCGTTGACTGTTCTGGTCCTCGATCAACCAGACAATGGACCGCTCTTTCTTTCGGGCGAGGATTTTTTTTAATCTATTACGAAACGGGGCGATAAGGACCGTTACGTGGTTAAATTGACTTGAACGTGGTCAAACTAGTGATTAATGCAACTGGCACGATGGCTGTGCTTGCTATTGCCCAATCTCTTCCACAGGGGGAGGCAATAAAACTCAATGTCTGACATTTTCACTTCTCCTTAATATCCCTAATAACTGACTAACAACTGGATGCTGTCCATAGCGGAGACCACTATGAATCTTCGCGTGTATAATCGATGTGTTTGGTTCCAGGCGAGCCTCGTTTTACTTTCACTCGTTACAGAGCCAACCAACCTGACGCAAACAACATATTTTCGTTCAATTGGGAAAGAAATCCATTCGATCGGCTCACCAGGAACTTATTTTTCTACGTCTGCCCCGACGCCAGACGTTGATGGTTTCCGGCTTTCCGCGGACGAGTAGGTCAAAGGGAGAGCCAATTTCGATTTTACTTTGCTAGTTTCATCTTTCTCTTGATTTGTTACGTCTGGTGATTCGCGCAATTGTAAACGAGATACGTTACTTTCTTCGATTGAAATTAGAGACGAATATTGTGGGAAAAAATGAGTACTCATGATCGTATTTTTTGTTCGAGTGTGATAATGTATGTACATTTTGGAGTTGCGTTATATTTTTAAATGGGAATATTCGTGGTTATAAAATGATTGAAAATTGATGACGATGTCTATATCTACAAATATAGACCATTGTGGACCTATCGTCTTCTTTCTTCAAAAATTTTCTTCTAAAGAGAAAGGTATGGATCTACAATTATCCTGTTCACGAAACTACTTTCCAGCATTCTTAGAAATCTTTTATTAAAATTTTTAAATCAGCATTATAACGAGATTAGATAAAATCGAAATACGTAGAATAAGAGAAGTTACAAAGTATTCAATGTAAATGTATGTTCATCAGTATTGTTATCAGTAGACCACTAATATTTATACATATTCATATTTTTATTTACACAAGTAAAAAATTGAAACTTCAGCGGAAAACTGTTTTACTTATTTTACACGTTAAATATTATACTTTGTGCACAAACTTTCTAGAACATAACACATCTTACAATACTTAAATAAAATTAATAAAACGATGTACAGATATATGCAAATAAATAAAACAATTTTCTACTTTAATTCCAATTTTTTGTTTTAATCAAAAATATGTATAAATATGCCTGCAATTTACTACTAACAATACCACAGTATTCTGTTCAACACGTATGATACATACATAAAAATTTCTCATGAAGTGTTTAAATTCAAGTGTTATTCAACCCAATATCGAAAATATCTGACGACGTTTTCTCTGAAAATCAACTGGATCAAG